AATAACCCAGAAGGATATCTATGGCACCAGTGTCATTACTAACAACGATAATATCTAGCCGATTGTCTTTGCTGAAATCTTCAATGGCGAATGATATCGAAGAAGAAGCTCCAGTGGAATACATTATTGAATTTTCAAAAGTCCCATCTGCATTACCGAGAAGCACGGCTACATTGTTAATACCGTTGTTAGTGACAACTAAATCCAGCTGATTGTCCTGATTGAAGTCGCCAACTCCAATCGAGTATGGAGAAGCAGAATCGATGGAATAGATAGCTTGACTTGCAAAAGTTGCGTTGCCATTGCTTAGAAACACTCCTATTTTATTAATTCCATAATGAGCAACAGCGATATCGAGAAAGGCGTCGTTATTGAAATAGCCAGCAGCGATTGAGTATGGATGAGAACCAAAGCTAGTTGAAAATGTTATTTGGCTTGAAAAAGTGCCGTTATCATTTCCAAGAAGTATACCAACATTGTTCGTGCCATAGTTGGCAATGGCGAGGTCTAAATAATTGTCATTATTAAAATTTCCAACGATCAATGACGATGGAAAAGAGTCATAGCCTGTCGAATATGTAGTTGGAGCCGAAAAATTTCCATTCCCATACCCATGGAGTATACTTATACTATGTGTTCCATAATTAGCGGTGACAATATCAAGTAATGTGTCATTGTTGAAGTCAGCTACGCCAAGCGAAATCGGACGAGAAGAGCCAATTGAAATCTCTTTTTGGCTGGCGAAAGAACTATTTCCAAATCCAAGAAATATACCGACGTTATTACTTCCAAAATTAGCAACTGCGATATCTAATTGACCATCATTGTTGAAATGTCCAACAGCAACCATGAACGGAGTGGACCCAGTACCAGTTGAATACTCGATTGAACTTGAAAACGTACCGTTGTTATATCCAATATATATAGCAATACTGTTTACGATATGATTGGCAACAACCATGTCTAGCCGAGTATCGTTATTAAAATCACCAATAGCAACAGATCGAGGGCCATAATTGTATTCGATTGGTTTTTTGTCCATTGATATGAACTTTAGCTCACATTTTCGAACTAAAAGACATATGAAAACCCGTATGATGATTGATTGGTTGCTCAAGTGCAACCATTCCTATTGGATCGTATTGGATTCTCGCAAGTCTTATAATATACTGTCAGATATTGTCATACTACTCTATATGAAGAGAACTCAAAATCATCATCTTTTAAAAGAATTCTTTATTTTCTTGGAATTCAGATGGAGTTTGATATACGGCCATATCAGCTACACGAAGAAGAAGAGAACAATAATACAGGGAACGACGATATGAAATATTTAGCGTAGATGTCAATGATTTTATCACAAGGACAACGAATATTCATCGATAATTTCCGTGTGACAAATGTGCAATTATTTAGTTCCACTCTATTTCATATAGTAAGCTATTGATTATTTCAACCAACCTACTCAATCGAGAACAATTGTACGTGTTATCTTGAGTTTTTAGTTATAGGTCTTGGATGTGATCTTATTTTATCTATAAAAAAGCGTTTATAGATCTATAAAAACAGTACACACCAGTGACTTTTGGTGACGTAAAACAAATTGTCAGTATACCAATAGTTATTACTATAATGATGAACACAGTAAATGCACCTGCAGCCGTTAAAAATCGATGTTGTGACCAATACAAATGTATGCTAGTAAAAATATTCTATACATTATGATGATTCAAAACAAAATACAATATAAAGAAAATGTTGGAGTCATTCGCGATTTATTGATTTTAATAGAAACATTAACCAACCTTGCTGAGTTAGATTGATTTTGTGTTGATTCTTCATGATGCTCGTTGTGCATATAAGAATGTTGCTGAGCAAGTGAGTGTTCAATTGAGATAGCAGCATCATCCATAGAATTTTCGTTCATCTATACTATTGTCCGGTTCAAATATAGTACCCTTCACTGTTTTCTGGATAACTGAAGAACCGCAAATAGTTAGAAACTTGCGGCTTTCACCAATCAAAAGTGGAGATAGGTGGACGTCTTTTTCTCTAATATTGTTTAAGACGACATCATTTTAAAATCAGTCATTGCTGCAAAACATCGAAAAAATGTATAAAAACAATTTATCATTCAGATGAAATTTTCACAAAAAATAACAATATTTGCTTGAACAGTAAAAGAAGTCCATAGGTTCCGTGCAATTAAATAGACGATTTAATTTGTACAAGATTAGGATGTGGAAAGATAATTATTCGAATTATATATGTAACTGTAGATCTGAAGTTCTTCGATCTAGATCACATGTCAAAACCAAAATTTCATCAAAATGACAGACTTTTAAAAAATGTTTTCGACGTTTTGCAGAAATAATTTATTTTAATATGATTTCATCTTATACAATATAAAAGAAAAAGACGTCCCCCTGTCTCCGCTTTTAATTGATGAAAGCCGCAAGTTTCTAACTGTTGGTGTTCTTGCGTTATTCAGAAAACAGCGGAGGGCACTATATTTTGAAACGGACAATAAAATAACAGTATTTAATAAAAGGTAGTTTTCAGCAAGTCGTCATTATTCACTAGAATACTTTTCTATAAATTACTGTTTGAGTGATCGATTACGTTCTTTCTGTGCTGAAAAGTTGCAAAGTCTTAATAAAATTAAAAAAAATATCAAAAGAACAGATTAATTGCTTTAGTAACTCTGATCTAGAATTCTAAATGATAAAATATTCATTTTCTTCTATAAATATTGCTCACTTATTGAATTCGAATATTTTTCTTAATGAACACAAAAACATTCGGACTATATCGAACACAGGTACTGTTTCGAAAAACTTCACCTTATTGGAACACAAAACATAGATGAACATTGCCAATATGTGTATAGAAAACATCGGAAGCCGGTATATAGCGAAATATATCTCAAACAACGAAACTAAATCGAATTCGATTCGAGATTTTCTTATTCATTTTGATCTCTGATATGCTTCCATAAACGTTCTTTTCTCGTATCGATTTGACTCAATTGACTGACAAATATTTGTTAAAACATGTTTTCACTTGTAACTCGTTAGTTTCAACATTTGTCAATGATCCATTGAGAACATTTTTCTTATTGATTTGTCTTGTTTGTTTATAACTTTGTTTCTGAAATCTTTCTGACCAGTGAAGATACATTCTATTGTGTAGTATGATTTAGATGTGTTTGACAATGAATTTTAATTTTCTTTAACATCATTTTGTTGTTTGTGTAAGGTATTTTGCTGATTCGATCATTATTGATCGGATAATCAGATAGGTTTTTCGTTTTAATCGTTCATATATAAATGAATTGAGTGATTAGATTACGATAATCGTGATTATCATGGCATTCCTATTGTAACTGTGATGAATATCTTAGATCATTTTTTATCTTGGTTTTTAAGTGCAAAATTATCAGGTACTGTTTCATAATAAGACTGCATAGACATATCTATAATTTCTAAGTGATATTCTGTTCAGTGACACAATGTTTTGATCTATAGTTTATCGTCAATATTAATGATAAATATCATATTTCAAATTGATAACTTATCAAAAATATAGCAGCACATCCAACTAGAGATAATCGATACATATACCGCAGCATTTGATTGACGAAAAACACTTTTGATAAGAAAATGCTGCTGAAATACTGGTGAATATTTAAGTAATTTGAGTCTATCCGTTTGTTAATCCATTTCAGACATCGTTGAGCAAAGGTTGGAAAGGTTTTTAAAAGATTTTTTTATACGTCTTGTCATGATTATAGAAACATTTGGCGCAATTTGAAAAGCTAATCTAATAAAGAATTATATTTCTAATCATACGATGGCACTTTTAACATAAAAACACATGCAATTAATCAAAGTAAAAACCTGAATTAATATATTTGATTAATTGTATGTCTTTCTCATTTATTTGCTCGTCAAAAAACTATTCATTCTGAATGTTCTTTTTTTGTTTCTTAGAAAGGGAAATCTTATGAGAGAACTTCTTCAATGGATACCATTCACTTAAGCTAATATGGTCCCGATAGGTTCGGTTTGCAATAAAAATCAAAATTCTAAAAATGATTTCACCTGTTATTTTTTTAGATTTTCCAAAAAATAGGCACAAATAATTTATGTATTGCAGTTTGTTTTGTTTTTTCCATACAACGATACTTTAAACTAAAAACTATATTAAAAATTCATATCTTATATCATTTTGACTTTGAACATCACAAATCGATATAATTGTTATCCTTTGGATAAGTAATTATGTTTCTATCTATTTTGTTTTTATATTTACCTAGTGAAATTGATAATCGCTCGAGGCGACTCTTATTACTTATTGTTATTGAATAAAAAATAGGAAACGAAAGACAAAACAAAATCTCATGATATTTATAGATCAAAATCTATTTTTCTATGTAAATAAAATGGTTTATCTTCAAATAGAAGTGCTTATCCAGATCGAACAGAACAGCCCGTATATGATCGTAAATGGATAGAATACACCATCTTTACGTATGATATCGCCTATCAATTTCCGTCTCAACTCAATTAGGTATTACTTAAGAGTAACTCAGGAATCCTAAATTGATTTGAATATTAAATTTTCCAATAATGAAACAAGGTGGTTAGAAATCTCTCCTTGAAATGGAAATATGCAGTAAAGCACGCTCTACAAAATTACTTTTGATTGAGCGCATTAGCTCATGTAGACGAGAAGTTATCAGCTTAGAAATGTTCTTCATAAAAAATAAAAATTATGTGTGAACCTTGGAGAACCAAAACAGAATATGGTGCAGTAAGTATAACTTAAGCGCTCAGTTCACTTGTAGAATCACTTTTCAGTCATAATATAATTAATTTTCAATGTTAAACACGCTTTCTTTAGAAGAACAACTTCGTGGATTCATTCTTGCCTCCAAAGACAATGAAATTTCACTTGCCTAACAGACAACATAGCTGATGACTTATTGATAAATTTTCTCTGTTTTTAAATTGTTCTTACTAATAGATCTTGATACACTAAATCTTTATCTATCATTTACGATTTCTCTTTTTAAGATTCAGTTTGTACTTTATTCTTAATGCATGATAACAGTCGGTAGGAGGTACATCGAAAGATTATAATTCATTAGGAATGTTGACGGTTAGACAAATGAGACTCACCGTCCTCAAAGAAAGAATGAATCTACGAAACTGTTCCTTCAGAGAAAATGTGTTCGACACCTCAAACTAATTATATTATGACTAAAACGTGAATTTCCAAGTGAACTAGATGCTAAAACGGTATTTTATCGATTATTTTCTGTTTTTATTCTAAAATGCTCAGAGATAATTTTCATTCTCTGTAAGTGATATTTCTAAGCTTTGAACGTTTTAACTATTCTCTAAAAAATGGTGTCCTAATAAACCTACTAAAGTTCTAGAAAAATGCAGTCGTATCTCGAAATTCGTTTTTCTGTCTCAAAATATGGCTCTACTCATACAAAAAAAACACAGTTCATTTAACATAAGAAGGTCAGTTGTTTTGATATCATTATGATCGGCAATAAGAACTTCGTGCAGCGAAATAATGAAATTTATCCCTTCGCAGTTATAACGAGTCTAAACATAGGTTAGAACTAATTGCTAAGTCTTCATTTATCATTGTGCTTGTTCGACTTGTCGTGAGTTGAAAAAAAGAAGATATTACCTTTTCTCTCCAGCTTGCTCACTATTCTCACTTTGCATGACTCAAAACAGAAACTAGCAAAGCTTATATAATAAGAGCAAACTTACTATTCAATAATTAATTGAGATGAATCTAGAAAAAAACTTAAATTAGTTATTCAAATCAAACTTACGATTTAATTGCTCATGAGATGAGTCAAAGCGAAAGAAAAATAAATGTATTATTGAAAAAACTTTACTATTTGATAGTTAATTCGAGAATAATCTAAAAGAA